AATGCGCTATTGGAACCTTCCAACCATTAAATTCACCGGGATTAGACATGATCTCTCCAGCTTTCTTACAGCAGGGGCAGGAACTACTCCTAACCTGCCTAAGAAGACTAATGGTGAGCAGCCTAGCCCTTGGGTACACCCCAAGTGCATGGTGCAGCGCTAGGGTGGTCTTCATCCCCAAGATCGGGAAGAAAGACATCACCAGCCCAAAGTCCTTCAGACCTCTCAGCTTAACTTCGTTTTGTCTTAAAACGCTGGAAAAACTGGTAGACTACAATATCAGAAGAACAGCCCTCAGAGACTGTCCGCGGCAAAACACACAGCATGCATACAGAGCAGGCCGTTCAACAGACACTGCACTTTATAAACTATGTCGCACCCTAGAAGGGGCAATTGACAGCAAAGAAATAGCTATCTGTGCCTTTCTAGACATAGAGGGAGCCTTCGACAACACATCACATGATGCAGTTCGAGCTGCCCTGTCCAGAAGGAACACAGATGTTACTACGAGCAAATGGATTGGCAACCTACTTGAATTCAGGCAAGCAACATGTACACTGGGTTTGGATAGAGTGACAATTGCAACCAGCAGAGGCTGCCCGCAAGGAGGAGTACTGTCCCCTTTGCTATGGAGTCTGCTAGTAGATGAGCTTCTCAGCAAACTTGCTGGAAAAGGAATCCAATGTCAGGGATACGCCGATGACATCGTGATAATCGCCAGGGGTAAATTTGAAACGACACTCTGCGACATCGTCCAACTCGGACTTAAGACAACGCTAGACTGGTGCAGGGAGGTTGGACTCAACTTAAATCCTCCTAAGACAGTCATCGTTCCCTTCACAAGGAAGTACAAACTACAGAGAATGAGACAAATCTCACTGCTAGGAACTCCTATAGAAACTAGCCGAGAGGTTATATATCTCGGAATCACCTTGGATAGTAAGCTGAACTTCGCTTCCCATGTCCAAAAGACATTGGAAAAGTGTTACAGAGCACTTTATACCTGTCGGAAAATTGCTGGGAAATCCTGGGGAACCAGGCCTCAGATAATACGATGGCTATACTTAATGATCGTGAGACCAATCCTCACTTACGGAGCACTTGCATGGGGTAAACGAGCTAAAGCTGCAAAGACTTGCCTGCGTATGCATAACAGGGGCAATGAGGACCTGTCCTACAACTGCCTTAGAAATTCTGATGGAGCTAACACTACTCCACTGTGTAATTGAAATTCAACGCAAAGCTACACTCCTGAGAATAAGCACTGAGGGCACAGGTAGTGGTTACATTCTAAATAACAGGGATGCGACTAATCTGTTAGGTGAGGTGCCCCTAATACTCCACCCTAGGGATGAAATGACAGCCGAATTAATCTTCAAGCAGAACTTCACAGCACACCTAGGCAATAAGAAAGATTGGACCACATTGTCTGAAGTGCACCCTATGGCTAAACACACCATAGCATGGTACACAGATAGATCCCTGACACAACAAGGCACGGGCCTTGAAGTGGTAGGGCCTCGCATAAAATACCACGAATCCCTTGGCCAATACACCAGCATATTCCAGGCTGAGGTATGTGCCATTGGACGTTGTGCAGAGCTCAACATACAGCGGAGATACAAGGAAAAGGACATATCGATCCTTTCGGACAGCCGAGCAGCAATTACTGCTTTACATAGTAACAAAATCACCTCGAAGCTAATCCTAGAGGTGAAGAGTAAGCTATATATATATCAGATGGATTCCGGGACATAAGGATAAATCCGGAAATAAACTTGCCGATAAAATGGCAAAACTAGGAGCCGAACAGCCCCTGATAGGACCAGAGCCCTACTGTGGCATAGGGAGGCACACTATAAAAGAATACCTTACGAAAGAGGAAGGCGCCATGAGGCAAGAACAGTGGAGGAATACCCCAGGCCTAAGGCAAGCCAAAACTCAAATAAATAACTCCAACAAGAAGAGGTTCAAGGAACTTATTCAACTAGGGAAAAATTCACTTAGGATCTTTACTGGATTACCGGGCACTGTAGACTGAAAAGTCACCTAGGTAAGATGGGAATAACCAGCAGTAGAACTTGCAGATTCTGCGACATAGAGGACGAAACCTCTAAACACATCATCGCAGACTGTCCGGCATTAGCAAGTATAAGATGTAAAATCTTAGGAACCAGAACTCAACCCACTAAAACTCCTCGACTTTATTCGAGGAAGTGGGTAGATATCTGAGGCTCTGAATGGGGGTACAATAGATCTTACAGGTCGCGGTACACTAAACACCCCGATACGATAATAATAATAATATTTAGCTAATATGGAAGATAAAGTGATTTGGCAGCAATGGCGAAAAATATAAAGCCGCATAGTTCTGTCTTATACAACTTCAACTTTATTTAATTTATTTTTGATATGGAGGCTAAGCTATCATCGTTTAAGACCCATTTTTATGTAAAAAGTGCCCAGAAAAAATATTTTGAGGGAACAAAAATGAACTTAGAGCCATCTGAGCTCGTGCTTCAAATTGATTTTGCCGAAAATTATCGACTGACACACCAAAATGAAATACAAAGTGCTCATTTCAGCTACAACCAGGTAACAATTTTTACCTGCGTAGCTTGGTTGCCTGGTGCTTCACAGTCGTTTGCAGTTATAAGTGATAAACTGACGCATAATAAACATGATGTTTATATTTTTCTGTTCAGCCTTATTTTTAAAATAAAACAAATTTATGGACCTTTTTCAAAAATATTTATATTTGCTGATGGAAGCTGCCCACAATTTAAAAACAACTATATTTTGACGAACTTGATATTGTGGATATTAATGAATTTTTTTGCCAGTTCTTACGGAAAGGGAGCTGCTAACGGAGTTGGAGCTTAAATTAAAATTAAATTAAAAATTAATTAAAAATGCGTAAATATATACTTTATTTCCTCTGCACAAGTGGAACAATTGACAATTTATTATAAATTTAATGAAAAATGGGAAGATGTGCAAAGCATACCTGCCAGATGCATTGGTTCGTTGCAATGGCCAATATACAGTATATGCCAAAACAGCTTACTCATTAAAAAAATGTTTCTTTTAATACTTGTTTTTGTTATACTATATAAACAGATTTAGTTAAAAATAAATAATTATGATACTTTTTTTTTGCATATTAAAAAAATACAACATTTTTAGGTGTCGTTTGTCAGTTTGAAAAATTATAAGGACTTGTTTAAGAATTGTGGAATCATTTTTTTTACGTTGAGCAGAGGTTATTACAAAAAAAGTTTGTTTGATGACGTTTTAAAAAACGATTTTTGTTTTGCTTTTTAAGTTTATAGCGCTTGATGTTGTTGTCGTAAGTTATTAATCAACGAAAACGGTTACTTTTAAGGCAAGAATTTCCTCCTAAAAGTATCCACCATCAATTTGAGTAAAATGTTATACAAAAATGGTTTCTGGTTAAAGGAAGAAACATTTTCACTAAATATTTTCAAAATATTAATTATTTTTTAAAAATTAAATTTATAAATATTCTTAAATTAAACGAACTAATATGAAATCAGACACTTTGCAAAAAAGTAAGCGATTTAGAAAAATATCTTAAAAACAACGAATAATTGAATGTTCTATTGTAAACTAGAAAACTTTCTCGTTAATTTTTATATCATTACAAATGGTATTACAATTAAAGTCAGAAGGACACACTCCCGACCCTATCAGAAAAACTAGGAGGGTCGATCTAGCCATGTCCGTCGGTTTGTCTACTGATTTCTACCCAAACTAGCCTATCAGTTTTAAAACTATTAGAATTAGTTGAAACGAGCGGATCGGACGACTTTTACTTTTTTAATATTGATTTGAATATAATTCGATACAAATGAATAGTTTATTGTCTTAGAATTACGGTTGTAATTTTATTTAAGTCGCACAACGATTTTACAGCTGCTTGTAAAACATAGGCTGCTTGTCGTTCATATAGCTCCCATAGAAATAATAAAAATAGCTATCTAATAATTTAGCAAATCATCATATCTTCAATGATTTTAAACATATACGCAAGTAAATGATAATTTTAATGTTTTCAAGAATATTTAATTTTTGCAATACCTGCAAGGGTATATAAACTTCGGCTTGCCGAAGTTTTTTCCATTCTTGTTGTTTTTTGTAATTCGTTTTGACAGTTCAGAATTACGCATTTAATTTTATTAAGATCGGAAAACGATATCATAGAGCTGCCATAGGAACTATCGAATAATTGAGATGCAAATCATCATAGCTTCAACGTTTTTAAAGATATACGCAGGTAAATTATAATTTTAATAATTTCAAGAATATTTAATTTTTGCATTAGCTGCATGGGTATAAGAACTTCGGCTTGCCGAAGTTTGCTTCCTTTCTTGTTTTCAATTGAATTGAATATACTTCGATACAAAGTAATGGTTTATTGTTTTAGAATTACGGTTCTAATTTTATTAAAATCAGACCACGATATCAAAGAGCTGATTGTAAAACACAAAAGCATCATTAAAAATATTTCTGTTAAAAAAATTTTAATTTTTGGAATAGCTGCAAGGGTATGTAAACTTAGGATTGCCAAAGTTTGCTTCCTTTCTTGTTAGCAAAGCTTTAAAGTCCTGTCAAACGTAGTTTGTCGAAATAAAATTAGTACTGAAGTATAGCTAAACGTTTTTTTTTTAATCATGGTAGAAGTATTGGGTTACTTTGACTATATTTCAAACAAAAACTTCTGATACCACACAAAAACACTTCTTAACGATGTAAAAAAATCGTGACGATCGCACCTTCAACATACAAAATATCTGATAACAAATTGTCTGACAGCCACTGCGTACCAGTTGAATCTTTCTCTTGTTGTTGCACATTTCGTATTTGCATATTAACCTCGCTCAGCTCTTTGAGGTTGTCTTTAAACTAATTTATGTCAGCTCCGCGGGCAGGACCGTTTTTTCCGTTTCTAAATAAGCAAATTGATAATGGAGGAAATATACTCTAGATCGGCTGTTTATTTTTAAATAATTGCATAATAAATATAATTCGAACTGAAAATGTTTCACACCCAATAACTGAGGGGTAAAGATTACAACATTTCGCAATAGTCACAAGAAGTCACATTGACTTTCCATAATATTACCCTAAAAGAACTCCCTTTTATTTGGATTTGTTTCTTAGGATTCCTATTCATGATTAATCTTTTGAATTTATCTTTGAAGGATTACTGGGAGTGCTCGGAAGATTTCTATTGCAGCACTAGATTAAAATTCAATGTGCAAGTATGATAGTTTTTTTGGTTTGGCATTCCATTAAAATAACATTTATCCTGTGAATCGGCGACAAGTCGTACTACCATCCGAGTAGTGCTCATCTTAAAAATTTTTATCCCGACTCTTCTTTTTTTCTAGCTTAAGCTATTATTAGTCTTAGACTATGTGTTATACCGTGATTCCGGCAAATGTCGACTAGGCTTACTCTTTTCCTCCTCTACCTTGAAAAAGTATGCTTTACTTTGCCCAATATCTTGATCGGCAATGTGACAATCGGCAGACTTGATAATGGTAGCATTACAAGTTTTCATAGATCTGCCTTCGGTGGGGCAACAATCTGTTTGAAAACAAACTTCTGGAGCTCCAGCCAGTTCTTCGAGACGGCTCCTCAGTTGACAGAATATCTTTTTTTGCTTTGCGCGTACTTGGCCAGAAAAGGCTGAGTTGCATCGCCTGCCCGGTACCACTTTCTCTCGCTTTTTCTCAGTCCCATCCAGTCCTCGGGCTATTAAGCGTTCTAGATCTTTAAGAAGACGGTCCCTCTCATAGGCTGAAGCTGAGGCTATCTGTCGGAGCCGAAACTGAATTTTGTCGTAGTCAGAAGAAATCGTGAAAAGCGCCTCTTGCAGCTGCTCGACGTCGTCCTCGAGCTGGCACTCGTAAGGAGTCATAGCCCGGCTGACCATGCGTCCTTCCGAGTCAAGCTCGGTAAAGAGTCGCTTATTTTCTTCGATTTTCCCGTTTTCACTATTATACATATTCTGTGGAGAGCATAAGAAATTCACTGAAAGTTCGGTTTACTGAAGCCAATATTTTTAAAGTTAAATTAATATTTGAAGTCCAGAACTTACTGATGCTTGAAATAAACTTGCAAGCTTGAAGATAATTCAATAGAGAGCCTGTGGGACGCAGACGAACAGCACTGCCAGAAACACAAGAAACCGGAGAAGTGTATTCATAGGTGTGAGTCCAGGCGACATCAATTTCATTGATAGTTGACCAAACGCCTACTGGAATTTTTTGATTGTCTATATAATAGTTGACATTTAAAAAACAATCAAGAGCAATAGCGATAGTAAGTATAGAGTACTTTTCTGATAACCCTTTTAAGTATCAGGTATGACTCACCAGATGGTGAATACCGAATGCGAATTCAAGGAGGGGTTCGTCGGGTCGATAGCATCGGGCCTCCATTGAAAAGAGTAATGGGAGCTGTACGATAAAGTCGTTCCGGGTCGTTTTAGCTACTAATAATAGCTTTAAATCTGATAGACAAGTTTGGAACGAGTGGTGATGCTGATAGTGTCGGGAATGTGTCCTTCTGACTATAATTGTAATACCAATTGTAAGGATATTCAAATTAACGAGAAAGTTGGCTAGCTTACTATAGAACATTCATTTGTCATAACTTCGTTGTTTTTAAGATATTTGCCAACATCTGGCTCACTTTTTGCAAAGTTTCTGATTTCACATTTGTTTACTTTAATTAGGAATAGTTTTAAAATTTAATTTCTTAGAAATAATATATATTTTAAAAATATTTAGTGAAAACTTTTCTTCCTTTTGACGTGAAACCATTTTTTTTTAAGCATAACTAGTTTAGAAGTTATAGCATTGCAAAGCTTAGCTATATTTTTAGCGATTTCCCGCTTAATGAGCCAGTTTTTCAAAAAATGGTAGAACAAACGACCTGCCAAACACACGAAAAATTATTATTATTCCAGAATTTTAACACAAGCTCATCTAGAGACGAAGCATCTCATCTCTTGCAATGTGAGCTCAGTCTGATTGAGGCCTGGTTCCTTCGCTGGAAAATTAAAATCAACTCCCTGAAGTCTGTCCAAATAACTTTTGCACTAAGACCAGGAAACTGTCCAAATGTCACACTTAACGGCTCAGAAATTTATCCTGAGCAAGAAAGCCAACAATGAGGGGGAGGGCAAGACCGACCTGAGAGTCGCTGGAACCTTGCGGAACCGCTCGCACGAAGTCAGTGAGAGCGCGCCAAAGCGAGCAAAGGACGCTCAAAGAAGAGTGAGGCCTACCTTCTTCGTAAAGTCGTCATCTAGCTTTCAAAGCGTTTGAACGTTCTATTCGCTATGTCTCTTCTCTACTGCCGAAGTTACAGCCGCCCAGTTCCGTTGTTTGGATGCTGTCCGTTGCTCCTCTTTGTGCCGCCGCGTATTTCACACAGCTTGTGTTGACTTAGTAATCTCTTAGTAAATCCTAATATACTATGACTAAATGACTCGCATTCTAAAGTTGACTTGATGCAAATTTTAAAACACTTGAGCACTTGTTTCAAGACTTAAAATCAATATTTCTTTAGGTTTTTGCTAAAATGGAAACAATTACCAGAATGTAACTGATGGTTGCCAATGTAAAGGAAGCCGCCCAGTCTTACGCTGCAACTGCGCCATCTTCTACACAGGCTAACCTGACTAATCAACCTCATGCTGCGGTAGGCGGTGATTTCATACAAATTCAGAATGAGAAGAGAAGGAACAACCATAAGTCCAAAAAACTTGTGGTTACTCACCTAACTCCGATGAGTTACTAGTATTGCCAAGCATTAAATATTTGCATGTGGGGAGAATCAAAGCTGCAATGGAGCCGCATGCCGTTCTTAATAATGTGTCCCTGATCATCTTTTTGACTCTGAGTGTGAGTTTTAGCCACGCTCTGTAAAGGTGTAAAACTTTGTCTTCAACGAGGGGATCATTGCGGAGGCAGATTTAAGTGGCGGTGACCCGGCCGGATCTTCAATTAGTTCCACCTTTACTGTTTGTTCAAAAAAGCCCAAGTAAAGGCCCCACTGGTGTCGATGGTTTTTTTTTTTACATCTTCTGCATGCCCTTCATCATATTTGCCTTCTGGATCGCAACAACAACGTCAGCTTCTTACCGTGCTTAGAGCGCTCTTCGGAGTTGCGCTCTCATCAAGTTCCATCTCTGTTTCTCTGATCAGTTTCTTAGCTTGAGCTTTTCGTGTCCGCTTTGTGCGATATTTGTAAAAGCCAACTGCTTAGCTTCAATATCGGTGCGCTCTCTGAAATTGCGCTCTCAACTTGTTTCGCCACTCTCTTGATGCAGCAATAGCAGCATCGGCTTGAGATATAGTTTTCACGGTTGGACCTTCCACATAATGTTTTCTGAAAGCATTCGTCTGATTTTGGATTTTTTATACAATATTGGTATGGGAATGGCACCCTCTCTATCCATTTTCAAATAATTGCTGGTATGCGTACTAAATTGCGATCTATTTTCTGGAAACTTCTCAGTGATAAACTGATGCCATTACATTAGTTGAATCCTTGCTCAACTTGGATTTCTTTAACCAGTAATTTTTCGATCCGAATCTCTATCAAGTATTTCGCTAGGACCGGAATGCTGATAAAACACAATGATCTAGAAGTGGCGGCCTTCTTAAAGCTGTGCGTAATCTGCGATGCGCTTCTATTCGCCTCCTAAATGAGGACTATCTCTTTGATCCAATTTGCGTATCTCTCTCTAAACCTGCGGAGACTATTTTCCTGGTGGTATCATATATACCCCCAAGCATGTGGACAATATTGCCAATATCTATCAGGATCTAGATGATAATCAGTACACCTTCGTTTTGGACGACTTCAACCTCTTTTCGCTTGTGTGGGTTCATGATGCAGGTGCCTCGGCGATGGTTCCCAGTAATTTACATTTGCCTCATGAAATTATATTTATTGATGATCTTTTTAGCATGGATTAGTGATGATTAGTTAAGTCCTAGTTAAGTCTTAAATAAGTAGCCAGTAGAAGATTTTTCAGTTGGTAAAATAAATAAATAAAGAAGGCCAAGAAATTCACCTCACATCGGCACTGGTGGAAGACTTCACAACGACGGACGCTTGCTGTCCGAGAAGTGGGATGCGATTGAGGTCAAGACTTGATAGCCAAAGCAGCTCGTTTACGCCAGGGAGATTCCAAAGTGGACCGCAAGTCCGCATTTGTTTGCCCAAGGAGCAATCTCAGCAGGCAAAGGTGTTGTTGCTTCTGAAGGCTCAGAACCCAAAGGTGTACACTAACGACTGGGCGATTCTAAAGGTGGAAAAGGAAATGAAGTGAAGCCTTTGGAGATTCCAAAGTGGACCGCAAGTCCGCATTTGTTTGCCCAAGGAGCAATCTCAGCAGGCAAAGGTGTTGTTGCTTCTGAAGGCTCAGAACCCAAAGGTGTACACTAACGACTGGGCGATTCTAAAGGTGGAAAAGGAAATGAAGTGAAGCCTTTCCTTTTCCTGATTATCCAGATCTGCCTGCCGCAGGTGGAAAAATCGGACTACACCATTCGGTGCGGTTTGAAGAAGGCCAAGATCAAGGTCTTCTGACGGAACCGGACGAGATACTGGAGGAGGTCGATGACACAATAGTTACTGGACGACATGTTCATCGACGACATAGCACCGGACACGACCCCCAATTGCAGCGATGCCTAAAGTCGTGCAGATTAGCCTGGAGCGCAGTACGCACGCTTTTGCGATCCTGTCAGTTTTTCTCAGTGAGAGAGACATAGACATTGACATCATAAAAGAAGCATGGACTCCTGACGAGCAGGTCTCTGGCCCAACACGGCAAGGATAAACACTCTTTTACACACACAACTCGACAGGTAAGACGAGGGCAAGTATATTCATGAAGAATAACTATAACGCACTTCTATGTTCCAACCTTATTACTCCGGATATAGCAGTCGCAAGATTCGTAGTGGCGGATGGAACGTCGATAGCGCTAGCCTCAGCATACATGGCTCATGATGAACCGGCTCCACCTGAACCTGTCATTAAGCTGATGCAATGGGCTGGAGAAACCAAAACAACCCTAGTGCTCAGGTGCAACGCAAATCCGAGGCTTTGAAACCAACAACCAGCTCTCTTTTTGATAACATAATATGCATTAACATCACCATCTGTATGAAAAGGTAAAACACCACCCTTCCAATTCCCAAACACTAGGGACTTTCAGGAATGGGAAGGGGTGTTAGACACTCTTCAGGCGGAATTTAGCAAATACAAGGTCGATAAATTAATAGTGTCGAAACAGCATTCTTTTTCTGATCATAGTTATATCTTTTTTGAAGTAGCGATTCCGATTAGTCAATCGGAGCCGAAACGTAACCCACGTAGAACAAACTGGGACAAATTTGGTAAGATTGCCAATTCGAAACTCAGAAGTCCTCTACGACAGCTCTGGACAAGAAGGTAGATGACCTCACCAACATTTTGAACTATACATTCAGAAGAAGTGAAACGTTTCCTACTCTAGGAAACAACACCCGCCATGGTGGACCAAAGAACTATGTACTCTCAGGAACAACATCAGCTATGCTACCAAGGTAGGGAATACAAAATAACGATATTTGCAGCCAAAAAAACTCTTACACGAATTACTGCGAATCACTTGAAGGCATAAAAGACATGGCTAGACCCACCTTTACTATACAAACAAGGCGGCACAGCAAATTTGACAGTGGAGGAATCCCCGGAGACACTGCTGGATAATAATTTTCCAGGAAACTTCTGAGAAAAGCCAGATCCTACAGCAGGTCAGGGTGATGAACAAACAACACAGACAAGGCTTTTTACAACTACTGAAAGAATTAAATGGGCGATAGACTCCTTTGACCAATATAGGAGCCCGGGGCCAGACGGCATTACTACTATGCTACAAAATACAAATAACAGCATTAGAAAGTGAGTGCAAGCCGTTTACGAGGCATGCTTCAAACTGATACATACACCGCTTTCATGGAGGGAAGCTAAGGTAGTATTCATACCAAAACCAGGAAAAAAAATTCACATCCTGGATTACAGGCCAATTTTTCTTACCTCCTTCACGATGAAAACACTGGAGAGACTCATCGATATTCATATCCGAGAAATTACGGAACAACAGCATCTTTTGGAAGAACAGCAAACGAGGTGGAACTTCATATAAAAAATTCGATACATTTTAAACATTACACGATGACCACATTTGGA